GAGCTAAATAATATAGTGTTTTTACTAGAATTTTACATTCAGACAATGAACAAAATAATAAAAACATGTTGGTGACATTTTGTAACCTTTGATTTTACACTTGGCACCTCATATCTATCTACATTTAAAAAAAAATACACATTTAAAAAGGCTGCAAACTTTGAGGGAATCCAGCCAATCGAGTCCAGTTATTTCTGTGGTGCTTTGTGGACTGCATGAATGGCACCTTGTTATTCCACTTCAGCACCCTTTCCAAGAGCGCCTGGAAGTGCGCATGCGCCGTCAGAGCGCGCTACCGCAGACAGGGGGCGTGCACGCGCCGCTGTCTCCTCCACACAACCGCCGCACTGACTGCAACCTGCCAATGAGAGGAGGAGAGACAGACGGAGGAGAGAAAGACACGGAGGAACACAAGCTACCATTAAGGCTTTTTTTTCATCCTTATGAATCCCTACATATTTTTAGGAGGGTAGGGTGAATTCGGTGGATAAAAATAAAAAAAAAACTTGTTTTTTTTATCTTCTTTTTTTGTTTTTTTTCGTCTACGCAGTGGATGTTCTTTGAGCAGCAGACGCCCGAGCTTGCAAAGCAGGTGTGAGAGACAGCGGCGACCGCTCCTCTCCTTCCCTGTTTCCAAGGGGGAAATGTCGAGCGAGAAGCCGCTTTCAGCACCGCCGGGCTCCGCTTCCTCGCTCACGGACACAGACCGAGACTCCCACCCTCCTCCTCCTCTTCCTCCACCTCCTCCTCCTTCTCCGCCGCCGGGCTCCTCCGCTCCGCCGCAGCAGGTCGTCGCCACCGCTGCCGCCGCCGTCGCCGCGGGCGCTGGCTCCGGCTCCAACAACAGCGGGGAGAGGATGGTGTCCGCAGCCGGCTCCATGGTTCTCCCGGCCGGGGTGATCAACCCCAGCGTTCCGATCAGGAATATCCAGATGAAATTCGCCGTGCTGGTGGGCCTGATCCAGGTCGGCGAGGTTAGCAACAGGGACATTGTGGAGACGGTTTTGAACCTGGTGAGTGGATGCTTTGGAATAAATGTGATGAAAAAAAAAAAAAAAAAAAAAAGGATGAAGCCATCAGAAAAACAGAATGACTGCGCCCCAACTCGCTATGTTTTATTTACGATGCTCCACTCTGGTTGTGTGGCGTTCAAGCGGTGGAGGATGATGTCATTTATTTGTTCAGAGGATGTTAATGTTTTTTTTAATTTTACATCAAATGCACGAGGCAGAACGGTGCATGTGTGTGTGTGTGTGTGTTGGGGATATTAATTGTGTATTATTGCAAAGCCTGGAGAAGCTGAAAAGCATGTGACCTCACCAAGCATGTCTCTGAGGGTCGTTCAATCACCAGCCATTGTTGACTAAATGACCAGTTTGCAGTTAAAAAAAGAGCTTTTTAAACATGGCTGTAGTGTTCTTTACATTTTCTCTTGACCTCAATGGTCCGGAGTGATGCAGGAACCGACGGATGCGCGCGACACCACGAGCCGAAGCACTTCCCCCCCCCCTAAAACCGTGCAGGTGTACACGTCTGTCACCGGTTTAAACAAACTGATCGGACAAAGGCCGACTAGCACGATGCTATCCAGTGATGAGTGAGTGTGTGTCGGTGTGTGTGTGTGTGTAGGAGAATGGCTTCAAATTATGCACAAGGCCTATTGTTGCAGGCAGGGCCCTGCATCATCCTGTGCGCCAGAGGAGTGATGTATAGGTGGCTTTGAAGCGTTTGGTGGTTTGTATAACTGTGTGCATCACATAATGGTTATTTATGCTGCAGATATGGGCTGTTGCCCCCCCGCCCCATGTTCCATGATGGGAGGAATCTRAGGCCTTTCACCCAACACAACACATGGGAGGATTTAATCCAGCTGACTGACTGGTGTGGACTGTTATGAAACAGATGGGCAAAATGCACAGCAGATCCAGAAAGGAGCTTTAGGAGGATATGTGCTGCTCTCCCCCAACAACCCATTCATATTCAGGGTGTACTKTATGATTGGACCCAGCAGATAATGCTTTTTATGATTATTATTWAAAAAAAAGTATTTTAAAACCAAATATCAGTAAATAGGGTTTTGGCTATTTCTGGATTCCACCTTCCCAGTGGTCTGGTTTTATTTGATTTTGATTTTTATTTTTACACATTTGTCTCTCATCCTTCCTGATTCAGGTTATCACCCAATCAGTGATTGGTAGCTCTGCTCCCTCCAGTCTGGTCTCCACCCCCCGTGCAGGCCGATAACCATCCGCGGCACTCTCTCCGTCGTTCCGGAGGTGGGGGAGAGAGGAAGGAGAGATGCCGCATGCATAGGGCTGCTTTGGCCTGGCAGCACCACGCATTTAAAAGCAGGCAGGTGGAGAGAGGAGGAGGAGGGTGGTGGGAGGGTTTAAGGAGGGTGGTGGGGGGAGGAGGAGGTGGTAGGATGCTGCAGTGGCTATGTGCTCAGAAATCACCAGCTGATGCAGCGGTAGAAGGAAGGACCTGGGATTGGTCCACATCAGACCGGCGACGGGTAGAAGTGCATGGAGACACCTGAATGTCACGAGACGGGATGTGATTTTAAACAGTGTTTTAAAAATAAAAGCGTTCGTAACAAACTTGACTGAGCCARGGCATCTCTCCTCTCTGATTTCTTCTCTTTTACAGCCTTAGAAAAGGATTAAACTCACTTAGAGATCTAAATTAAAAACCCGATCAAGGGTCAACCTTTTATTCCTCCAGTAGTTTTGTGAATGTGTAATGTCAAGAAAATCATTCCCTTGTATTATTTTTTTTTATAAGCCAAAGTTTTATTTGAAAGTTTTTTTTTTTTAAATTTTTACTGGTTTCTAATGAAAACATTTTAACACAACCCATCAAAAACAACTAAACCCCTCCCCTTTAAATTCAAACAGCTCCTAACATTTCACTCTAAAACGACAGAAGAAAGCACAATATGGATCAAATAAATCCTGGCAGACATTTTGCAGCAGTGAAAACTACAGAGGAATTTGTCAGAGCATCTGAGGCATGGAAACTGTCAGGACAAAACATTTGTGTGTGTTTCAAATAGAAAACAGTTGACCACACTGATGAACAGAGTGATAATTAAGGATCTTGTGTGACGAGGAACTTATGGGACTCAGTGAATGTTCTGACCACTTTTTTTCCCCTCCACCTCAAAGTTTGACTGTATTTATCTCAACTCAAACAGATGCAAACTTTATTTTCTCTTTCTAAAAGTCGACAAATATATACTGCGTGAACTCTGCATTTGGTCTGTTTTGTTTTAAAGGAGACATATCCTGCTTTTAAATTCTTCTTTTTCACATTTAAATCCTTCCGTTGGGGTCAATATAAGTGTAACTGAAACGCTTTTGTCTGAATTCCTCCTTATTGTAACTCCACAAGCCCCTCTTTCACCATTTTTCTGAGGCGTGTCTCAGGACAACTCGTTTTGTGGCTGTTTCTTTAAATCCAAATGAGGCACTGCACGGAATGAAGACRAACAAATTGTAGTGGGCATTTCCAATGCAAAAACCATCATAGGAAATAGAGAAAACTGGGTTGAAACAGAATATAAAGAGAGAGACAAAATTTACTTTTTATGCACTCTTTGAGAGTCCAAGTACACACACAAAAATGAATTTTTTTTGGTTAAAAACGTAGATTTAGCATGAAATGTCCCTTTTAAATAAATGCACAACATAGACCCTTCTTTTCAGCACGTAGCTCCAGAGGCTGCATTAGAGTGGGGGAGGTTGTACTTAAGTGAGATGACTCCACTGGTCCTAGTTTCTGACCCTTTTAGCTGAACTGCTTCCACCCAAACAATTTGAAATGGTGAAAAAGATTTTTAGTCATATTTTTGCCAAGAAATTCATTTTATTTTGTTTGTGACAAATCAGTGAGAAAGCTCATGACATTTTATCGAGATCTTGTTACCTTAGTGAAAGCTTACCCGAAATGAACTCCTCAGTTTGTTTTTCATCTTTTTTATTTTTGCAAACACCTGCTTCTAGTCCTGGTCATTTAATTGTGATTGCYGCTCTGATGCAATTACACACAACCCCCACCCCAACACCCTGGCAAACTAAAAGCGCTATGTGTTGGTCACACAAAGCTTTTTCACTGGCAAAATCCTGAATTGGACAATCAGTTCTGGCTGCAAGGGCTGCCCAATAGTTAAGCCTGTTAGGGAATTCTGTTGCCCGGCTCCTTAATTAAAAGAGTTGAAACAAAGAGGTGCAGAGGCAGGAAGCCTCAGTGGTCATGCTGCTGCAACAATGAATCCGCTGTGACCCAAAAGCTGATCCATTATTCCAGTTAATGTGGGAGACCACAGCCTCCCGAGGCAATATTGTTCAGATCCGACTGAGTTTTGGGCGAGCAGATGGATTGTCAAATGTATGAAATACATCTGGTAAAAAAACAGGAGTACAATCTTTGGTGTAGATATTGCTGGTGATGAACTTTTGTGTACTATTTGTAAAGATTTATCTCTCCATAAAGGTATGCATGTTTTCATGACGTTTTGTACTAGTTTGTGCTTTCTCACCTCATGTTGTGACGATTTGGCCAAAGCTTAAACGTTATTACGCGCAATCTCATCCAATATCAGAAGATTTCAGGCTCAGTATGGCTGTGTCCAAAACGACAGGCCGGATCCTCCGGAGGACCCAGACTCCCCGGTCGCGGCGGGCCGCGTCCTTGGTAGACCGGGAAGACCGGAAAAAAAGAGTCTGTGAATTTGGACGGTCTAGCCTCCCCTCCTTACCCCGGCGTACGTCTTGTCACCTAGCAACTGTGACGATGCTAAACAAGCAAACTTAAATCAAAATTAGAAAAATATCAATACATTAGCATTATTAATATCACAAAACTATAAAATTAACTTAAAAGTATCATTTGAAGAACTAATTGACCCGCTGTAGGTTCATGTTTATTTCGCGTTTTTTATGACGAAAAAATAATATGTAAAAACATGTCCATACAAATGATAAAAGTATTAGAATTACAACCGCTAATTTTTTAAAATTTTTATATCACCGTATTTTTATTAAAAACGTATTCTTTTCTCTCGCTTCGTCCGCCATTACTAGCATAAAAAAAAAATCTCCGGTCGGGCCGCAATGCATTATGGGATATGCTGGGCCGGGAAGGATCCATCAGACCAGTCCTTCGATTCGGGTCAAAGGAAGGACGTATTTGTCGGCTGCATCGGAGGAGTCTTCGGTTTTGGACGTCCTTCGTCGCGGCGCTGTGACATATGCAGCCGACAATTCGACCTTCGGAGGACCCGTCCTGCCGTTTTGGACAGAGCCTATGTGTTGTGAATGACTCTCATCTATAACCACACCAAACTGCAGCACAATAGCTGTAATATTGACTTGGTTTTATGCTGCGTTCCATTTACATCGTATTCCTGGAACTGGTAACTGGTAGTGACGTCATTTCTCAACAAACCATATGAAACTGCATTCCAATTAGCCGACACTGCTACAATTTAAACAATGACAAAAAGAAAGCTCTACTACGTACGTCATGCAAATAAACATTGATTTTAATACGTACAATATTGCACAGAAAGCACACTACTTGTGCGAGTGATTAAACATGCACAAAAAAGTTAAGAAAGATAACTAACAGTAAAAGTTACGGAGTTAACTTTCTAAAGCTGCGAGTAGCTGCCATCTTGAAATCGAAACTGGGGGCAGTTTAATTTCTTCCACTATACGAGTGGGATATTACCACTGGAGCGGGCGTTCCAGTTTAATTCTACCAATGGGAACAGGGAAATTACCACTTCCCAGGACAACTGGAACACAGCAATAGTCACATTTTAAATTTAGTTTTCTATGGGAGCCATTTTTATTGGTTTGGCTCCAAAAATTAACAAGTTGTAGATGTACAATTAAGGATGGGTGATAAAACAAGATATAATCACGATAGACACCTGATCAGTGTCAATAGAAAATGCACCCAATAGAATGTTGATAATTTCAATGAACTCCGATCCAGGATGGCATGG